GTTTACGGTGAATAGCGTTAACATTGATGTTATGTGCGATATTATGTATTGTGATGTCTTTAACTTAACTTGTTTGTCAGGGCTTTACTGACACGAAGTTGCATTCCATGGTCCGCAGTCTTTGCCCCACCCTATCTCTGCTCGCCGTTGTTGTTGCCTGCCGTTAATTCAAGGCCTCATTAATTTCCGTCACTCCTGAGTAGGTGAGGGCGGTTGAACCTTGGAGTCAGTTCTGGTTTTTGTCTGCCTGCTTCTTCTTGTGTCCCCTGACCCCGGGAGTTATTATTCTACTTTATGGCCTGTCGAAGCCCCACTCGCTGTTGCTGGGCTGGTGTTGTTCCCGGCTTTTTGCTTACGTTTGCAGTTCGCCGTGCTCTTAATTTCCTTCCCTCGTCAACCTTATATCGACTATTCGCTCCTGTCTGGGTGCGATTCAATTTTGACTTAGGAAGGTTCTGATTGTCATATGCTTCGGGTCGAATTGTATAGAAAGTATTGAAGTATGGAAATAACATTTCATATTGACTTAATAATGGTGATGGTTCAGTAGGCGTAACTTGTGGCCTGGTTTAATTGGAGTGGGTGTGAATATCAATAACTTTAGCCTACCCTGTTGTTAAATTCCGACTTTAACGTTACTTTAATAGCAATACAGAATAATTGAGCTTTTTGTCTTAACTAGGCGAATGCGAACTTCTGGTGACCCCCGCAGCCTTGTTGTTCAGCTGGGTCTGCCTCCTTGAGAGATATACACCACTCTTATTCTCGTCTCACTGTGGTCATCCAACCTTCTGCTCTGGGAGTGTTATTCTTACTTTCAGGTCAAAGGCCCCCTCACGTTCAGACGTGCAGGGTTGTTTACATCAGCTCCCCCCCTGTGCACGTGTTCTAACTAGCTCGGAATCCCTGAACACACAATCAGTGATGATTCCTGGCTTTCTGTGGTTGTGATTTAGACAAAGGCGCCTCTGTTTCTTCCATTGCCTTTGAGTCGACACTGCCCTATTATTTGCCCATGTGCTGAGGTCATAGAATTCGTTTTGACTTCAGTAATATTAACATTCAGTATTGGATTAGCAAATGGCAATGGTTCATTGATGTAGCTCGCAGCCTGGTCTCCAATTTGAGCGAGCGCGAGGATCGATAATTTAGCCTACTCTGTTGTTGAATTTCGAATTTTGACGTTACTTTAAAACCATGCAGGATGGTTGGGCTTTTTGCCTTAACTATGTCTGGCTGACACTCCCACTGTCTCTGCCCTTGCACGGGTGACATGTGCCCGTTCATCAGGCCTTATCTTTCCTTGAAGCAAGGTTGCAAATTCTGCCATCCTAGCCCTCCTCCGGTTCATTACTTAACAACACCTGGTGTTTTGCAGTTTGCTGCGCTTGGTGTGTTTCAATCATTAAAAAAACAAGTAAAAAGATAATATATAAAAATCATCAAATATTATTAATCTCAATTATGGAAGAAGGGTTAGGATACAACAGGTTGGAATTGCCATCTATGTTCATAATACTATTGCATGTTCTCCAGCTCACACCTTGCTTAAAAAAATTTGCTTTCAAGGTCTGGCTCTCAGAAACACATTCCTGCGGAGGGAGCTGGTAGGAACGTCGGGTTGCTCGGTCAATGGCCTGCAGGGTCAACGGCGGCGTGGTGTATTCCGCAAATATGCCCGACTGTGAGGGCGGGCACAAGCCGGCGTGAGTAGGTTAAATGTTGAGTTTTATAAGGGCATCTCTGTGATATCTGTCTCCACTTATATGTTTGTCTATATGTCTCTGGTTTTGTGTTTTATCTCTCAAATTTAGCATTCTCAGGAAGAGCGTAATCAACCAGGTAGGGTGTTGACTGTTATGTTATCCGACTCTCTGTTGTATTACATTACATTTCTAAGTATACTAGATTTGTGTTTCTATTTCATTTATACCTGATGATGATTGCTTGTGTTGCAATCGAAACGTCGTATGCTAGTATTTAATTTATTATTTTATCTTTATACGTGACTTTACCGAAAGAACCAAAGAGTAATTATTGCAGTCACAAAAGCTCCAAATTAAGAAAGATGAGGGGGACATGTCTAACACGCCCCCCTCAGTGTGTGACTGGCTCTGACACGAGCCAGTGCCTCCCCAGCCAGTGACCTCACCGCAGGTCACTGGGCAAGACTCGTCAACACGAGACAGTGAATCTCAATGGGAGCTCTCTCTCTCTCAGCTGGTGGTTAAACCACATTCCTGCGGAGGGAGCTGGTAGGAACGTCGTGTTGCTCGGTCAATGGCCAGGGTCAACGGCGGCGTGGTGTATTCCGCAAATATGCCCGACTGTGAGGGCGGGCACAAGCCGGCGTGAGTAGGTTAAATGTTGAGTTTTATAAGGGCATCTCTGTGATATCTGTCTCCACTTATATGTTTGTCTATATGTCTCTGGTTTTGTGTTTTATCTCTCAAATTTAGCATTCTCAGGAAGAGCGTAATCAACCAGGTAGGGTGTTGACTGTTATGTTATCCGACTCTCTGTGTTGTATTACATTCCATTTCTAAGTATACTAGATTTGTGTTTCTATTTCATTTATACCTGATGATGATTGCTTGTGTTGCAATCGAAACGTCGTATGCTAGTATTTAATTTATTATTTTATCTTTATACGTGACTTTACCGAAAGAACCAAAGAGTAATTCCTGCAGTCACGAAAGCTCCAAATTAAGTATGAACCACTTCTACGGGGAAGTTTTAAGTTTGTTTTTTATCTTTCTCTCTCTGGATTTTTGTTGTCTCTCTCTGCTTGTGTAGCGGTCTTCGTGTCTGTGTCTTTCAAATTTCACACTTAACTTCTAATTTAGCAATCTTTGAAAAACGTAATCAACCAGTCTATGCATTGTGTGTTGACCGACTTTCTGTGTTGCATTACATTACATTTCGAAATTTTGCTGTTATTTAATTCAGTGTGCCTCTCTCCCTGTCTCCTCATTTTTACAACCTTTTCAGCGTGCCACTCATTGACATGCTAATTTCTCTAACCCCTTTCTCCGCCCCCGCCCCCTCTCTCTATTTAAGGCCTCGACACAGAGGCGTGGTTTCTCTGTGTACCTATGTATCTCTGTGATATGTCTCCACTTATATGTCTATCTGTATGTCTCTGGTTCTGTTTTATCTCTCAAATTTAGCATTCTCAGGAAGAACGTAATCAACCAGGTAGGGTGTTGACTGTTATGTTATCCGACTCTCTGTTGTATTACATTACATTTCTAAGTATACTAGATTTGTGTTTCTATTTCATTTATACCTGATGATGATGATTGCTTGTGTTGCAATCGAAACGTCGTATGCTAGTATTTAATTTATTATTTTCTCTTTATACGTGACTTTACCAAAAGAACCAAAGAGTAATTCCTGCAGTCACGAAAGCTCCAAATTAAGTATCACACAACAAAGTCCTGATCTTCCCCAATTCCTTTGCTGACAGATCGGTGTTCTGCGCTGACTGACAGACCGTCCAAATGCACATTGATGATGGTCTATGCCTCATGGTCCGAATGCATGGGACTGACATTAGCAAACAAGGTCGCGTCCTGAACTGTAATGGGTGTGTCAGCCATGTTAAGGACCTCCAGGAACAGTGGCTGATTCCTGTGCACGCGTGTGTCAGATGCTGCTAAGCAATGGCGACCAGCCACCGATGGCACCGTAGAGACGATGAGCGGCGAATCCGACCAGGAACTGACGAGTGGGGTGCGATATCGAAGCGGCACCAAGGCCTGCGCACCAGGCGCAGAGGTCACAAACGGGTTTTGATTCCTTACCGTACCCGTAGCCGGCCGCACCAGGGTCGCAAATGGGTACCCGTACCTGTACCCAGCCGGGTACGGGTACCCGTTCCCTACCCTACCCAAAATGAGTGACAAACGATTACGCACCGATGACTCACGGCCTACCCGTACCCGGCCGCACCAGGGTCGCAAACGGCTACCCGTACCCGGCCGGGTACGGGTAGCCGGGTATCGGGTAGGGTACGGGTATCGGGTACCCGGTTGCGACCTCTGACCAGGCGGGATCGAGTTTCGGGCTCAATCTCACTCCCACCCTGTGCCATTGCCACTTTCCCCGGTCAGTTGTTCTCCACATTCATGTCCCCCGGTTGCTGCTGCTGTCGGTGGATATCGGGAGCACAGTCCAGGGTTTTCTCCCGGGTCCCGCGCGGGACGCACGGTCGGCGGCATCGCTGGTGCTGCTCTATCCGATAGCTGCTGTGGAGTGCCGGGTCTGGAAGGCTGACCGTGGCTCTCGTCCCCTGGCTGGGGAGGCGATGCGGCTGAAGTTCCCCCCGCTCGTTCCACCTTAGGACTGAGCCGGCGAAGCAGCGCGGTTACTGCCTCCAGCAGCTGATCCCTAGAGGATGATCTGTAGCGGCGGCGGCGCTGGGTCTGCACCGCCGGGTTGGTGGAAGGTGCCCACATGGGACGAGCTTAATCATAAGGAAAATAGCAGTCCCCAGATTTTATGAGGATAATTGTTGCTTCAAAATGAAAAAGACATTTATTTTGTTAAAAATATCCAGTGGCCAATCGACCACTCACTATTTTTAAAAGGGGGGACTATTGTATATATGCCTCGCCCACACAAAGGACATCTCGAGGCTAATTACTCACAAACCGGCTTGAGAAAGTCATAAAATGTAATAATAAAAACAGCGGGAAGCCCAATGGGGGCTAATGAGATTCCTGGGGAAACCCCACACGGGGCGAGCAGCTGCCTTGGATCCCGCCGATGAGCCGGGGGACGAATTCTGACTCGTTGGTTCCGAGCAATTCTCGTCCCGGGCCCCTAGAGCGTCTTCTGGCTGAGTCTCCCCCCTTGGGATCTTGCGTCGGCTGAAGCGAGACATCCCACCGCTGCCACCAGATGAAGAGAAGTCGGAGACTGGTGAAGCACTTTTTTATTATTCAAACAAGAGCCACACTCGCTCCTCAAAACAAACCACGAACACGCATTTCACAGCTCCTTTTAAACCCTCCATCTCCACCCTGCTTCCTAACCAACATCTCTGTCTCGCGCGCCGTGTGCGTGTGACGTTCATGCCCTTTAATCCCTTGACCCCCGTCTAGTGTATTCACGTGCGTGTTATTGGTGTGTGCTATGTTGAGTGCGGAGATTGTGTGTCTCTGTGGTGTGTGTGAGGATGGCTTGGACATCCCCTACACAGGCATACCTCATATAGCGCTCAAGATGCGTTCTTGGTAAACATTTGCTATAAGCGGTATGCCTGTATTTCCTACCAATAGGGGTAAGTCGTCATTGTAGCCATCACAATGACCCGTGCTTGTTTCTGGGGTCAACATTCTTGCCGTTAACCCAAAAACAACTCAGCATCTACGTTGTCGGGTTTTGCTGAAAAACATCTACGGAGACATGTGGGTAAATGGGGATAACGGGGTTTGGTTCACGGTTCCGAACGCGCGATAGAAGACAAAATGGCGCGCGATAGAAGACAAAATGGCGCGCGAAATAAGACAAAATGGCGGGCGGCTGAACGTCACTGCCTCCTCACTCGAGGCTGGAAACACCACGTGACCCGGGACCCCCAATGGGCCGCTTGAGAGAAGAGACGGGAGACAAGATGGAGACAAGATGGAGACAATACAGAGGCAAGATGGAGATAAGATGGCACTGCGTGTGTTCCTCCACGGCAGCAGCAGCATCATCGCGAGCAGTATAGTTATGACGCGTACAGAAATCTCGTGATCATCCACAGCGCTAAGATCGGCGAACTCTGTAGCTCAATAGACTTGGCACGAAACGGCAAAATCGCGATAGCTAAACCCGCGAGAGCGAAGAGTTTGCTGTACTCGAATGTAAAAATACACTTTTTTTCACAGAATAGAATTCACCTATCCGCGTTAAATCACAGTATGAGACATCAACTTGCAAATATTCTTCCAGCAGTAAAAAAACACAACTCCAGCAACAGCACCCAGAGCAGCAATGACTCCAAGAACGATCCAAACTACAGGTGAGCTGTAGCTGGACTTGGCTTGGGCGTTGCGTCTGTCGGTTCTATTAAACACAAACACAGACGACACAGAAACACGTGCACACCCAAGAGATGCACGCAGTCAACGTCTTCTTCCTCTTCCTGCCATGTCCCCCTCCTCTCGTGCGGTCTCTGCCCTGCAGCTCCTCCTGCTCTGCTCGTTGCTGCCTTGGGCCACCTCCGCGTCTACTCCCCAGCAGAGGTCGCAACCGGGTACCCGATACCCGTACCCTACCCGATACCCGGCTACCCGTACCCGGGTACGGGTAGGCGGTGAGTCACTGGTGAGTAACCGTTTGTAACTCATTTACCAACGTCTTGTCTCTTCTCACAATTCAAGTTCCTAGAGTCAACCCACCCGCGCCTGCAACATGGCTTCATCCCAGAGGTCGCAATCAGGTACCCGATACCCGTTTGCGACCCTGGTGCGGCCGAGTACGGGTAAGAAATCAAAACCCGTTTGCGACCTCTGCCAGGTGCCTCCACCTTCATCGCCCTCGCGGTTGCCCCCTCCTCTATTGCTAAGGCAGCCCCAGCCGTGTGAGCCGACTCCCTCTCGAGTGAGATGAGCACCGCAACTCCCGCCTCCTTCCCCAGTTCTTCAGTTCTCACCGATCCAGTCCTGTGATCGCTGCTAGCGAGTAACATCTCGAGAGGGTGATGTGGCCAGCACCACGCCTGGCCGCCTTTGTCTCAGCAGTGCTGGCGTTTACACAACGCAGCGAGGTTAGGGAATTGAACCCAGGTCGCTGGTTCTTAGCGCAGTGCACGCACACACAGGAAGAATGACCCTGATAAGAGTGGATCCTGCTTCCTGCCTCTCTCGCTCTCACCTCATCTTATCCAACTGGGTCCATTGGCTGCATTTCTTCAACCCTGTTGAGAGAGAAGTGGACACGAGTTGTTCACACATCCCCATCCTTGTCCACCTGCAGCCTGTGTCACTGGCACGGCTGGGAGTCTAACCCACGACTCACACCTGCCTGGCGCCCACATGGAACCACTGACCATAGCAATCACTGACCCTGATTTGACAGATATCGTTTGTTTAACCACGTGAGAGTCCATTGAAATTATTGTCTCGTGTGATTTATGTGTTTTATTTAACCACGTGAGAGCCCATTGAGTTCACCATCTCCTATGACTGACGCAGTCTCACATCACCACGCCACGGCTGGGAGTCTAACTCAGGGGTCCCAGCTGCCATGAGCTCCCGCAGGCTCCACTGAGCACAGCTCTGAGTCACGGGCAGGCAGGGAGCTGGAGTCAAACTCAGGCCCTTGGAGAGGGCCGGCTCAGGGTCTCTGGCGTGGCCATAGTGAGCCGTGTTCTATCACTCACTGTGAGGTTCTGGTGCAAGTGCGGTCGATACTCACGGGGCTTCTGCTTCTCTTAGTCGACTTTGTCTCTTCTTCCAACAGTAAAAACCAACTACAACAGCAACAACCAGAAGAGCAGCAATGACTCCAAGGACGATGCCAATTACAGGTGATGGAGCTGAAGCTGGACTTGGCGTGGGCGTTGCGTCTGTCGGTTCTATTAAACACAGACGACACAGAAACACGTGAACACCCAAGAGATGCACACAGTCAACGTCTTCTTCCTCTTCCTGCCATGTCCACCTCCGCGTCTACTCCCTAGTCCCTCAAATCCGCCGCGTTCGCCACTTCTACTCCCCTCACTCTCGGCCTGCCCCTCTGTCTCTGCCCTGGTGCCTCCACGTTCATCGCCCTTGCGGTTGCCCCCTCATCTACTAAGGCAGCCCCAGCAGTGTCAGCCGACTCCCTGTCTCCGCTCGAATGAGATGAGCACCGCCACTCCCGCCTCCTTCTCCAGCTCTTCAGTTCTGACCGTTCCAGTCCTGTGATCGCTAAGATCCATTGCACCATCCTCGTTTCTGTTTTGCACAGCGTCTGCTCCTTCTGGTTGTCAGGAGGAGCAGATGCGCTGTGGCGTTATCGAACGCGCGTTCTGGCTCTACGCGGTGCAAGACCTAATGAGGCCTGTTTTCCGGAACACGGGAGGTGATGTTTCGGCTGGACGCTAAGACTCTCATCTCCATGTCGAAAAGTAGTGCCGTGAGGGTGCTGCATCCATTGGAATGTGCGAATTAATCCACTGTAAGAACCATTTAATTACCATTTGATCTTTTAGTTTGTGTGTGTTTTAAGAGTCTTTCGTATGAAAAAGTAACACACTCGACATGCACAGCAATGCAATGGTAATGTTCACAGTGCCGCAAGCATCTCGCCGTCCAGTCTTTGAGGACTTTAGATGGCCGCCGAGATGGCGAATCGGCGATGGAGTTGGGGACGAGCGTCAGGCTGGGAATTCATTGTCAGGGGAGAGCATTGGACGCGAGTTCTGCGGTGCGGGGATGAGTCGGGGGTTTCATGTTAAGGAGTGTACACACGCAAGACATGGAGAGTAACTCAGCATCCTTTAGTACAATAACAAGGGCAGAAATGTACTAGTATTAGTAACACAGAGTGAGGGGTGATCATTTCAGACCCTGGAAGGCAACCCTAGTTTTCCCACAATGTCTATTATTTGTCGAACGCGGTTCTGCCTAACACATCATTTTTTAGGAATGTAACCCCCCCGCGTCCGGCGAGGCCTGCCTGTAAATGTTAAATAGTGACGGTGCTATTATAACCGAGCCTAGAGGGAGGCCATTGTTCATGATTCTCCTGCGGCTGTGTTCACCGGCGAGGTGTTCACCCTCGACGCACGGTTTGCCCAGCATCGTGTTCATTAGGTGAACGGTAGAACACCTTTTGATTATTTTTTGGGCCAATGTCGGCAGCAGGCAATGACGCCAAATGGAGTCATGGACATCCAGCAGGAGAGGTCAATCATCGCTGTGCCGGTTTCCTATTGACGCTGTAAATCGCCTTGCAGCTCCCACATCGGCACTTGAAGTGAATCCGAATCAGAAACTTATTCCCGCAGTAGAGCCCCTTGAGCTAAAAAGCTCTTTTTCAACATCAAAGCATTCCACATCCCACAAGTGGACAACAATGTAATGGGACACAGACAGGAAGTCAAGCTGTCATTGGCTCATGTAGACAACTCAACAAAGAGTCGAGTTTCTTAAACTACAGGATGTGATATCTGTGAAGAATAACAAGACCCTTTATGGCTGTGCCACAGAGTGAATTTTCGTGGTAAATTTGGACAATAGAGAGAATTTGCATTCTCGCTTAGTGAGAATGATAAAGCGGTGGGTGTTAAATAAATCCAGGGAGGACATAATGCACACCTGGTTCATTGTGAACGTTCAGCTGCAGATACCCGATGTCTTTCATGCTTGGCTTGTCGTATCGATAAATCGTGACCTCACAGCGATATCGCCCAGCGTCGTGGGTCTGGATGTCGCTGATGGTGATGGAGGCGTCACACGTGGAATCATCACCCACCCACGTCACCTGCAATGGCCTGAGGCTTCTCTTACTGTATTTGATCTTATAAACCTGTGGTCGACAAAGGTAAGAACACGTACAGGCAAACGATGCGATTCAAGGGTGGGATTCTCTGTACATATGATGCACATGCTCATTGTGAAAAAACTGTTTTACATCAACGTTTCCTATAACAGTCAAACAAAATAACACAACATTTTGGGCAATGGCTCTTCTTCAAAGTAGAAAGAGAGATAGAGCATATAAACGGATACAATTATAGTTGGATATCTTGAGTTAAAGCTTTCGTGACTGCAGAAATTAATATTCTTTGGGTCGCTACACAAGCGATCAAAACGTCGTAAATTTTTGTTATTTTCTTTGAACCTATCTACGTGACTTTACCGAAAGACCCAAAGAATATAGTTGGATATTTCAAGGTAAAATATTGTGTCTGTAAAATGTTGAAGTTTAATGCCCATGGCCCATCAGCAGTGGAGAATGATAAACCTTCTACTACTACATATTAGTGTAATGTGAGGATATATCCGGGTGGTTGATTGATCACACCTCGTTACGATGATTGGCTCTACCGGTCCTGGCCCATAGCCAATGGGGAGAAGTCTATGGGCGTGGCCCTGACGTGATGGGAAGGTGACATCTGCAAGTAGATGATTGTATCTGCTGGCTTTAGCCACAGCCAATGGGGGGGCGAGTCAGGGGCGTGGTCCTGGGATCGTACGATGGAGTCTGGAAGATTCCATGCAGGTTACCCAAGACTGGTGGAAAGGTACCACGTGACCCGGGTATTAAAAGGGGTGGAGACGGACAACACGTGATCAGATCTGGAACGAAGGGTGAAGCCACGCTGGAGCGGGGTCCAGGCTGCCACGTGGCCGCGCGCGTCTCTCTCTCTCCTTCTCACGCTGTCTGTTAGCAGCATGAAGAAGTAAGACAGGAGTGTTGTGAACGAAAGACAAATAAAGACCCTGATTCCAGAAGTCGCTTCCACGACCTTTATTACATTAGCATGAAAGGTCGTTAATAGTTACGTTTTACTAATTTTTGCGTGCAGGGTTTGGTCAGAGGGGTGAAATATGGGTGTGCAACTGTAATTGTAACGCACCTTCTCACTGTGTCCGCCTATGGTCCTGAACCACTCCACCAGCGTGCTTGTAATGTCACCGATGGTGCAGGTGTAAGAGCAGGGCAGGAGAACCGTGCTGCCTACTCTGGACTCAACTGGGGTGACAACGGCCAGGTCTGTGGACAAACCCACGATATTCACATTAGCAATGGGATGGAAACTCGGAGGAGGTGTGCTCACAACAGAAAAAGGGCAAACACTTTAAAGGACACTAAACATCCCATTGGATGACTAGCAGAGCAGTGCAATGCTGCATATTAGAGAACGGTCCACGGAAGTGGATATCTTAGAGGTACCTCTGAGGTCCCCTTAAGTGGCGCCACGGTGGCGAGATGTTAACTACCTCGCCTGGTATACAGGGGGTCGTGGTTTGGATCCCGATCCTGATGCCTGTATATTTAAAGTTTGCATGTTCTCCCCCTGGTCACATGGACTTTTTCTCCGGGTCCTCCGGTTTGTCCCTCGATATTTAGAATAAACACGCGTATAGAGTTATTTGGCTGCTATAAATGTCCACGTGATAAGCCACTTTGTTGAGCTGCTATCATTTGTGGCCTGGTAACGTAAAAAGTAGTTTAGTTTAAGAGACATTGGAGCCACACAGCAGGGAGGATTGTTTTCCCATAGTGCACTGCAAAAGCGAGTAATGTTTGATGCATGAGACCCAAGCCGATATGCAGGAAAACCTGCCCAATTCGACTTTGTCAAACACGTGTTTCGGCTCTATGGTTTGCCTGAGGTCGGTTTTTCCGGAACACTGGGGTGATGGTCCGGCTCTGCGTGGTTTAAAGCTCAGTTTAACATCAAGGCTTTCGCGACCAATATCCATAAGAGGTTTATTTTGGGTTAGTTCACATGAATATAAATGTGTCGTTAAAACTGCCACCACCCGACACAGCCACTTAGTAAGGTTTGCTAATTCGTTACTACAGTACACCGGTGTGTTGGAGAGTAAATGCACAACATTTACAATTTGAGTATGACGTTGAGCCAGTAATTATAACTAGCATCATCAGGTGACAGCCAGATTTGTGGAGAAATCCTCCTGTTCCGTTCCTAAATAGAGGGATAGATGTGATGTCGTCACTTGTGAGCCCCTGGATGATACATTGATGGTCTGGCCACACGGCAAAGATACACTTAAAGAATTTCTAATTAATCTCAACTCGTAAAACCTGTCCATCCAGTTCACTTTGGAAGTGGACAAAACAGTGTTTACCGGAAAAAAACGCACACTGACGCCTGTCTGAATGCAGAGTCACACCATCACCCCGCACAGAAATTTGCTCTTATCAAGACGCTCAATTATCAATCTAAGAAAGTGTCAGATGGTGACAGTCTGAGAAGTTAAATTAAACATGTTAAAGAAGTGCTGCAATTGAATGGTTACAGTGATGCACAAATCAACAGGGCACTGAATGCCAAAACCAAATCAAATAACACAAGCGTTGAAACTACCCAAGTAATTACAACTTTTAAAATACCGTACATTGCGGGAGTAACTGAACTAGCCAGATCTTTTTGAAAAACAAAACATCCGAGTCAGATCTGGCACAGTACATAAAATACAGAAATTAATATCTGGTACTAAAGATCTATTACCGAAGCTATCAACAGAAGGTGTGTACCAGATTAATTGCTCTTGTGGAAAATGCTATGTTGGTCAGACAGGACGAATGATCAGCATGAGACGAAAATAACAGCAAAGGAATATTAAACTCCTAAATACAACTGTCGGCAGTGGCATAACACGCGTGCCAACAAGGACACTCAATTGATTTTGATCATGTTGAAGTTCTGTGCTAAACTAGTTACTGCTGGCCAAGACTAATTAGAGAATCTATCGAAATTTAGAGAAATACAAATAATTTAACCGTTCGGATATTTAAAGACTTAGTGCTGCTCGGAAGCGAATCGTCAAATAATACATTAATAATAGGGGTGTTTACCCTTTTTTCTGGGAACAAAACTGACACATTTTTTACAAGGAATCATGTGTGCATTAACCACAATACTTCAAAATGCAAACAAAAAACACACTGATAATATATGCATTGTCCTTGAAACTGATTGGTCCACACCAAAACAGCTTTCGTTTGAGCCTCGTCTCAATTGGTGCTAGACCAGAGGACGCCAAAAAGCGTACAGCTCAAAGACAATGCACTATCAAAGTAATGAGGACTCGGGGTAAGCATCTACATCATTATACCTCCTTTGCCAGTACCAAAGTTTGCACTTTGACCACAAGTATTGTGGTTAATGTACACATGATTCCTTGAAAAAAAAGGTTTCAGTTTTGTTGCCAGAAAAAAGGGGGAAAACCCTATTATTATACTTTGGTACTGGCAAAGGAGATCTAATGATGTAAATAATACTTAGTACTGCGTGGAAGCGAATCATCAAATAATACATTGTTTAAATGCATGCCTATACAGGACACCATACGTCGATGGTGATTTATTAACTGCGAGCAGACAATAACAGGCACTGCGATTTTTGTGCACACAAACGATAGGATGTACAAGAACAATGTACATGCACAATGTGCGTTGATTACCACATGAATAACCCAACCGGTGATGGATAGCCATTGTAATTCATATGCATTCATTAATCCCCCCTCTGGCCTCTGTACCATGAGGGGCTCGTAAGAGATGCCATCACATCTACCCTCAGTTTAAGAACGAGACAGGAAGATTTCGACACAAGTCTGACTGTCGCCTGATTATGCTAATTGTAATGACTGGCGAAACGTCGTACTTAAATTGTAAATGTTGTAGATTTACTCTCCAACACGCCAGTGTGCTGTACTAGTAACGTATTTGCATGTTCCGTTTACATGACAAACCTTACCAATAGGCTGTGTTGGGTGGTGGCGTGTTTAACAACACATTTATATTTAATAAAAAACCTCTATTATGGATTAATGCTGCTAAGATTCTCATCCCCACATTGAAAAGTGCTGCATCCATTGGAAGGAATTAATCGACTTTAAGAATTATATATTTACATGTATGTTTTTGTGTGTGATAGCGTAACACACTCAACATGTATAACACAAATGTTAACATATTGCCGCATGCATCTAGCCATAAATTTGCTGATGACGCCATATAAATGCCTCGATGGTGGATGATTTAACATTCAAGTACCATGGTGTGAGTGCCGTGGTACAGAAAGAGGAATGGAGACGGGGGTTTTGTGTTGAGGCGATAGTGAAAACTAAAGAGTGCACACACACACACAAAAAATGGAGAGCGACTCAGCATCCTTTAGTACAAAAACAAGCACCAAAAATATTTAGAATTTGTAAAACAAAGAGGAAGGGGGTGATGATTTCGGACCCAGGAACGCAACCATAGCTTTCCCCTGAGGTCTATTATTTGCCGAATGCGGTTTAGCCCAACGCGCCATTTTCCAGGAACGTAACCCCCACGTGAGACGAGCTCTGCCTGGTTTAACTGTTAAGAGCTTGGAATTAGCCAAATTAAGTGCAATGTCAGATAAACAAACAATGTTATCATGTTTGCCAAGTACTGTTTTTATTTATTCAATAATTTCACCAGAATAAACCGTTGAAAAGGAACATCTGTTTACAAGGGTGCCCAGGGGACCAGGCTAAGATGACAAACTCATGAGACTCTACATCCGGATTGTTTGCTAATTGAACACTGAAAGTGAAGAGTCACAGGCAGGAAATGACCATGGTTCTAGGTGCACAGTTTTGTCACATGTACATATTCGTGTTGAACTGTTTTCACACCGTACGTAGCCAGGCACGGAGGTGCGTGGGAAGAACAACAAACCAAACACGAAAACCAAAACGTGTAGTTGTCGGGTGGCTATTGAGTGGTAGGTCTGGGCTACATGACAGATGATGGGAGTAGTGGGTGGTAGGACAGACCTATGAAGGACGTGATACAAACCTGTTCGTGGGTGGACAGTCAGCTGTAGATACCCAATGTGGTATTGCCCAGTTTGGGAAAAAAACGTGACCTCACATCGATATCGCCCAGAGTCGTGGGTCTGGATGTTGCTGACGGTGATGGAGGCGTCGCACTTGGACAGATCACCCACCCAGGTGGCCTGTAAAGGCCAGTGTTTGTTCTCTCCCTCGGAGAATTGATAAATCTGTGGTCAATAAAGGTAAAAGCAACACAAATATCAAATGCGTTATATTATTTTATTATAAAATTCGTTCAGATGAAACTCGAGAATGATTATGTCTCCAGGGCTGCGACTGAGCTGGATTAACTGTTGACAAAGGATATTCACGTGCAGACTGTTTTCAAATGACTGGCCCATGTCTCCACCCAGTCACGTGACCAGGGGCCCTCGATCTGGATAGAAAATACCAAACCTCTTCATCTGCGTTGGATATTGTAAATGCTCAAGGGTCATGTGACCAGGTTTACTAACACGACTGATCAATTCCACGCTTATGCTTGCTGCAATTGATCGGCAAATGGCGCACAGAACAGACAGAGGAGTAACTCACCCTGTCTTCACGTCCGTCGATGATCCTGTACCACTCCACCAGCTTCGTGGTAACGCCGCTGATTGTGCAGGTGTAGGAGCAGGGCAGGATAAATGTACTGCCTGCCATGGCGTCCATTTTATCTGGGGTCACAACCACGAGTTCTAGAGAAACCACACACACCCCCACATTAATGTATATTTTCCTACGTAATATAAATGTATAAATGCTAAACATTTGTCAGTAAGAATGTGTTTTCAAAGTACAGAACAGGCAGACCTCGTCGAACGCAGGGGGTTACATTCCTGGAATGACATGTTGGGCACAACTTTGTTTGACAAAAAACAGACCTCATGGGAAGACTCGGGTTGCCTTCCTGCCTTCCAAATGATCACCCGCTCCCTCTTTGTTAACTAATACTACAAGATGTCCGCCCTCGTCATTGTACGAACGGATGTTGAGTCGTTCTCTTTGTCTATTTCAACGCAACACAAAACCCCGTCTCCATTCTTCATTCACCACAGCACTCACACCCTACGCTCGCCACTAACACTGTCACTTGAACATGTAATGATTCACCATCTAGTCGTCCGTATGACTAACGTTCTCAATAACAAGAATCATGCTGTAATGTGTGAACATTTTACGTTGTGCTGCTGCTGCTGTGCGTTTTGAGTGCATTACATTATCGCTCGAAAAAAACATACCCACACGTACACAGACATACACGGTAAAAACAGCGTTCTTACAGTCGATTCATTCACTCCAACGGACGCAGCACTCTCAAGGTACTAACTTTTTTCTTATGCAGATACGAAAATGTTAGCAGCGTCAAACTGCGTATCACTGAAATACCACCCCTGTGTTGTGGAAAACAAACCCCATCAGCCACAACCGTCTAGAGCCGAAATACACGTTAGATGAAGCTGCGTTGGGCAAGGGGTTCCTCTGTATATTTTTTTGTTACCAAATGTTATCCTCGTGTCCCGCCACTAATATACACATTAATTGGGATTGCTCACAGAGTGGTGCAACGTGTCTTGCTAGAGAACAGTCCGCAGAGCGGATATCACAGAGCTGACTCTGAGATTCCTTCAAGCGACCTCTGCTGGTCCACACAGTTGGGAGCAGGACTTTCCCAAATTGCTCTTCCACTTGGAACAGCGCTTATCGCATGATAATCAACCAGATACGTTTTAATTATCAGAGATTTAATTTCGTCAATTAAGTGCAGAATTGCAGAAGGGGGGGCTTAGTCCATCAACTCACTCGACTTGAGGACTCGGTTAACTCGCAGGCAAATGTCTGGACTTGAACCCCATGCTTCTGAGTGGCGCGAGCTCAGAACTCTGACCTCCGAGTCACCTCCTATGCGACGTTGTTTAAAGACTGCGTAAATGTCTGTGAGGAGCAGTCAAAGGTTCTGATGTTCATTGGTGGTGATGCGATCGTAACTAGGGGTTGAACCCAGTTCACCGTGGCACTGGGCACATGGCTCTAAAGTTTACATGTTGAGTTCTATTTAAGGTCTATAGGATAGATGATAGAGTTGTGGGTGGTAATGTAGTTGTTTGAAGGAAATAACACAAACCTGATAGACTGGTGACATTCAGCTGTAGATACCCAATGTCGTGCTTGTTTTGTGGAAACACCGTGACCTCACAGCGATATCGCCCAGAGTTGTGAGTCTTGATGTCACTGACGGTGATGGAGGCGTCGCACTTGGACACATCACCCATCCAGGTGGCATGTAAAGGCCCGCGGCTGCTATTTCCATTGGGGAATTGATAAATCTGTGGTCAACAAAAGCGAGAGCATGCACAGATCAAAGATGTATGTATGTTGTATGTATGTTGTATGTGTGTTGTATGTTGTGTGTATGTTGTGTTTATGTTGTATGTATGTTGAACTTCTTTGGCACAGTACATAGCCAACCGTGCTAATCGGAGGTGCGGGGGAAGGACAACAAACTAAACACAAACATCAGTTTTAAAGAAACGAGTTTGTCAATCTAGATGATGATTTAAAAGTGCGTAGCTCCAGTGGCTTCCTAATATCGGAAGGCAGAGCGTTCAAGATGGCCGCAGCAGCGCATGTAACACTGCGCGATGCGGTGACCATCTTTGTTCGATGGTCAGTCCAAAAGCCGCTGCGAGGATAACCGGAGTTCGCGCCTAAAATGAATAAGAATGTCTTTATCATGTGTTGGATGCCTTTTACGTGAATCACTCTACAGGAGATGGTCAGATGTAGAGTTAGCACGGTTGGCTCGCAGTGACGTCATCCCGGCTGGAGGCAGGAATGACGTCAAGGCTGGTTCAGGGATTTGGCGGTTGGGTGAGGTCGTGGCACTCTGAGTGAACCCGGCTGGACACGTGACCTATCAAGGTGGAGGCCGGGGGCCCCGGGGGGACCTGGGGTGGCCAGGTGGACAGCCGGCCAGCTTTGAGAGGGTTCTCGAAGAGGGGCGTGACCGGGGTGGGGCCCGGACACGCCGACGCTGATATAAGCAGCCTCCTCACGGGGCTCGAGGCTGCTCGTGTGAAGAAGGAAGAGGGATCGTGAAGACGCCTCCTAAGAAGAAGAAGAGTCAAGGCTCCAGTTAGCGGACCCGCCAGTAGCCCACGTGGCTGGGTCACTCTAGTGTATCCGAGAGTCTGAGATAGAGAGCGACGGTGTGTGTGTTAGTCAGAGCAGGACAGTGGTTACCACCCTATGTTAGTGTAACGAGGTTGTTAATAAACAGTGTTGCCTCCCAAGAAGTGTGTGCGCCTATCTACACTATGATAGAGAGATTTGTGACTCACCCTTTCTTCAAGTCCATCTCTGACCGTGAACCACTCCACCAGCGTGTGGGTAACGCCACTGATTGTACAGGTGTAGGAGCAGGGCAGGAAAATCTTGCTGCCTGCTACGGCGTTCATTTTCTCTGGGGTGACGACCATAAAATCTAGGGAAACAACAACACACAGCGCCCACTTTAGTATGTCTCGTAGAAAAAATGAGAATAGGTTTTATTCTTTCTGGCAATAAAACACGAGGTGCTTTAAGATGTTCAAACATCGAATAGAAACCTTTTTCAACAAATTAAGTGTTGCATTGACCACACACAGTTATTGTAGTGAACATACAAACAGACGTGGCTCTGATAATATTAAATGGCATTGCCATTAATAATAATGTAATTATTGTGTTATATGCATTGTCTTTGAAACTGATTGGCCTACAGCCAAGAGTTGAAGCCAGATATTTGTATACTTATAGTGGCAACATGTCATGAGATGCAGATTCCATTGGATCCCTCAAAGTGCAGCGCAACCTTTCATGTTAAGAGTATGGCCCACAGAAGTAGATATCACACAACTACCTCTGACATCTCATGAAGTGACCTCTGGTCCATGTGTATGTGTGTTTGTGTTGAACTTCTTTCACACCATACGTAGCCAACCATGTTAATTGGAGGTGCGAGGAAACGACAACAAACTAAACACAAGAAAGCAGTTATAAGAAATGAGTTTGTCAATTGAGATGATTTAAAAGTGCACAGTTCAGTAGCTTCCTAATATCGGAAGGAAGAGCGTTCCAGACGGCCGCAGAAGTGCATCTGAAAGCGTGCGATGCAGTGACTGATGGTGAGCATGTTGTATGTATGTTGAACTTCAAGCAAGCTGACAAGCTTCCGAGTTATTTTGAGCAGCCTCCCGGGCATGCACCAGACGACGCACATTGGCACAGATGTGGTCTGCTATCTTAGCCGTAGGTGTGAGCTGTTTAATGCGCAACTGCACGTCGATTCGGGTGCAAACCTCCCTATCATACATAAGATAGAATGGCGAGTACCCCGTGGCAGCATGGGGCGTCATTCTATAGGCGGCCAAGACACCAGGTATGTGGAGATCCCAATCAGTCTGTGACTCAGACACCTGGTGGCTTCGCATAGAGGTAAGTGTCCTATGTAATCGCTCGACCATACCGTCAGTCTGGGGGTGATATGGCGAGGTGCGAATTTTGTGTGTCCCAAGCAGGTTGCACACATCCCGCAACAGGGTGAAAGAGAAATGTTTCCCTTGGTCGGTCAGCAGGCGTTCGGGAGCACCCTTATCCAGGACGTAGCCCTGGAAAAAGGCCTCCGTAATGGCTGCCGCAGACTGGTTGGGGAGTGGCCAGGCCATGGCCCATCGGGTAAAATATTCCACCCCAACCAAAATGTACTTCTTACCCCGAGGAGTAGCGGGAAACGGACCCAAAATATCCAATGCGACGATCTCATTGACCCGGGAAACCTTCATGGATTGGAGCGGCGGGCAAGACGGCCTAGCAGGTGGTTTCCGCCGTGCACATTCTGTGCAACCTTGCACAAGGTCAGCCACATCGTTTGCCATGCCCGGCCAGAAAAATTCCAATTGGATTTTAGCTCGTGTTTTCTGAACACCCAAGTGCAAGAGGCGACTGTGGGTATCCCACACAAGCCGCCCCCGCAGGGAGGTGGGCACCACCATCATGGTGCCTGCTCGCCGAGGTCGCCGTCAGAACTGCAGGTACGTGGTTTGCTTCGTGTCTCCATAGCCAATAGCCACTTCTGACACCAAATGTAATGCGTTCCGGAGACACTTGTAGAGGTAACTTCTTTATTACAATAAAACACTCCAACAGTCCTTATACACAGTAACAGCCTAGGGACATAGCCTACTCCTAGCGTGCCTGACACTGGCTACGTTCTCGGGTCCTCCGGCTACAATTATCCTAGGGGAGGCTACCTGACCCGACCCAGCCAAGGTGCGGGTCTCGACTCTGGCTTCCTCGGAACTCACCCTTACAACGGTGTAGAGCCGGGAGTCCCAGAGTCCCACCACTGGCCCGCACAGCGTCCCGGCCCTTACAAGGACAAGGGGGGCGAGCGGGTCTAGGGTCCTAAGCTGGCTGGTCTAGGGTCTTGAGCTGTGACGACTCGATCGGCTGGGGAGCGGCCCTTTTATCCCTCTTGCCCATCGAGGGGTGGCGTTGCGTGGGATTGTAGATCCCCCGCAGCACCCCATTGGTGGCACCAAGGGGCTCAGCTGTCTGGGTTGTCTGGGATCCTGAGGCCTGGTGCCGAGGGCTTAGCTGTCTAGGATCCTAGAGCCCCCAGCAGCCCCCCCCCCCTCTTGGGCTGGCACAGTGGCCCCTCCCCTGGGGGTCCGAGGTACCTGCAGATGGGCCCTGTCCACCACTGCTGGTAAGTGTAGCCCATCTACGGCACTACATATGTGCTTGCGTGCGGGGATGGGAATCCGTTCCAGCTCGGACCCCGTTTGCTTGCCCTTGGGCTACACCCCCCTCAAACAAATATAACCCCCTTATGGTAGCAGCTCTCTCGCTGTGTTCTTCCTGGTTCAGCAGTTCTACTGCTGGGTTTAGTTTTGCCTGAGGACGATCGCTTGTGTTGTGATCGAAACGTCGTGATATATTATTTTATTTTTCTACCTACGTAACTTTACCGAAAGAACCGAAGAGTAAGATGATGGTGGTTTTGGTGGTGGTGATGATGATGATGGTGGTAATGATGATTGTGGTGATGATGGTGGTGATCATGATGGTGGTAATGATGATGGTGGTCATGAAAGTGATGATGACGATGGTGGTTATGATGGTCATGATGGTGGTGGTGGTGATGATAGTGGTGATGATGGTCGTGGTGGTGATGGTGGTGGTGGTGATGATGGTGGTTGTGGTGATGATAGTGGTGGTGACAATGATAGAAATGGTGGTGATGATGATGTTGGTGGTGATGGTTGTGATGATGGTGGTTATGGTCATGATGGCGATGGTGGTGGCTATGAATTCGAGTTGACCACGACCTGCTATTGAACTCACCACGTCGTGTTCTGTTTTGGCGCCGAGCTCCGGACTCCGAGCCATTCCCAACCCCCGCACTGTCAGCGACCACCGTTCCTGCAGATAAATCAGAATCTCAGAATCATCATTTATTTACTTATACTTGAGGAATCCGATGAGCTATGAATCTCTTTTGCAAAGAAGATCCAGTAGGGCCACGGGGTAAGAACGTTACACTGATGACGGTCGCATTAGGGGTGCCACGGTGGCGAGGAGATGTTAACTACCTCGCCTTGAATACAGGAGGTTGTGGATTTGATCCCAGCCCTAACACCACGGTGGATAGGAGATGTTAACTACCCCGCCTGGTATACAGGAGGTTGTGGATTTGATCCCAACCCTGACGCCTGTTGTATATTTGGAGTTTGCGTGTTTTCCCCATCGTCTCGTGGATTTTACTCTGGATCCTCCGGTTTTTCCCTCCACATTTAGAATCAACATCACGCGTTTAGAGTATTTGACTGCTCGACATTTCCACGTGGTGATGATGATGATGATCAGGCACTTCGTTGCGCTATCATTGGTCGCTTCTAATAAAATAACTACACATCTCAGCCTTACCTGGTAGAATAACAATAGTTTAGTTTCGTGTTTAGTTCACATCCAGATCCTTCTGTGGAAGATGCTTTCACGAATGCGTGCAAAGTGGAGAGAGATCGTGTCACCGACTGGCGTAATAATGCACAATGCGTGCGTGTGTTTGATTCAGCACACGGAGGCATTACTGAGTCTCTGTTGTGCCCCTACGCCCCTCTCGTCAATCCACTGCTGGATGAGCGCCTCGTCACGCCATGGCGGCTCCTGATGGCTATTCTGGTCAATGTGGGTTGATGAAAGCAATCATCATTGCCTGCGCACAGCAATGCCTTGTACTGCCCTGCTCGTTGCTGTATCTATGTACGTATGTTGAACTTCTTTCACACCATACGTAGCCAAGCGTGATAATGTACGTGTTGAACTTCGTTCGCACCGTACCACTGGACTGGTTGAGCAGGATTTCTACCTACGTGACTTTACCGAAAGAACCAAAGAGTGTAGGCTACACGTGGTGGTGGTGCTGGTGGTGATGATGCTACTTACCAAACAACAATAATAGTATGAATATTGTTGTTGCTTTTGTTGTTCCGAGTGGAGAAGTCAGGGCGATTCCTTCACGAATGGAGGACAGGGATTCTGTAAAATGAACAAGTTACAAACGTTTACACCATTGGAACCTCATTTGCCAGAAGCAAAATATGATAATTGGTTTTTTACCCTTTTATCTGGTAACAAAACTGACACCTTTTTTTACAAGGAGTCATGTTTGCATTGACCATAATACCTGCAGTCGGAATGCAAACAAAAAACATAACTCTGATAATGTATGCACTGCCTTTTGGCATCATCTGGTCCAACACCATGTGAGACTAGGTTCTAAAGAAAGCTGTCTCGGGTGTGGACCAATCAATTTCAAGGACAGTACATACATTATCAGAGTTGTTTTTTGCATTCCGACTGCAGGTATTGTGGTCAATGCAAACATGACTCCTTGTAAAAAAGGTGTCAGTTTTGTTGCCAGATAAAAGGGTAAAAACCAATTATCAAGTCACAAACGATTTACAAATTAATTCATCGTTTAGAAGGGTCACATCTCCCCACCTCACCGTACGGCAAGACCAGGGACGTGCGGTCAGGGCAGGCAGGGGAGGCAGAGCCTCACCTGCCATACTGCAATGAAAACTGCTGTTACGAAAAGTAAAAAGAGAATAATAAAATAAATATTAAGATGTTTCCACTGATCTGTGTTATAAATGTCATTTCTGTACGATTCCAATCATTTTTATCGTCAAAATCGCCAAATGTGCGGAGCTCCGCTGCAAATACAGGAAGAGACGAGAGGGGAGGCAGCGCCTGCCAGGACTGTACTGTGACACGAGGAAGTGGGTGGCCAGCACCACGCCCGCCCGCCTTTGTGACTCGCCCAGCGCCCGCGGTGTTCGCTACATACCGCGGGAGGTGCTCATTTGAGGCTGAGTCGACCTCGGGGCAGGCCCGGGATCGGCTCAGATCATCGTCACCCGGGTTGAGTTGAGCGGGAACTCAACTCGCGACTCCGCGTTCGTAGCTGCAGGCGAAATGAAACTCGCTGTCACTTCCATAAATGACGTCACGCACCTAGGGGGGGGGGAGAGGGGTCAGACATTTGTGACGATGTCTTTGCGACAGACCTGTTCTTCACCTGAGGACGGCTGCTTGCGTTGTGGCCGAAACGTCGTGAGAATTGTTGTTTTATTTTGTTTCATTTTTATTATTTATTATTTCCCTTCTACGTGACGACTTTACCGAAAGAACCAAGAATATGAATCCCTGCAGTCACTAAAGCTTTAAATCGAAAAAAAGATTATGTTTTTTTCTTCTTGGTGAGAATTAAATTATATTATTTTATAATGTTTTATTTTATTATTTCCCTTCTACGTGGTGACTTTACCGAAAGAACCAAGAAGATGAATCCCTGCAGTCACGAAAGCTTTGAATCGAAATTTGAGGGGGGGAGGGTTTGAGAAATGTCACTTCACATCAAAATGCGCAACTTTAAATAAATGTTAATCAAATAGAATTGTTATAACACTAATTTGGATTAATTTTCGTGATTAACTATTTGATTATTTAAATTGACTAAGGTCACCTTTTATTTATTCCATGAAGGAGCATTTTGCTTCTCCATGGGAGAATGGAGAAGCATACATTTTGTCAATTTTTTTAATGATTGTTATTAAACATTTAGATTTTAATTATTCTACCAGGGCTCTTCATTCTGTGAAATGAATATATGATTGTTATAATTGTACTCTCAATTTTGCTTCGTTCTACTACAAAGTTTGAAGTTTTTTTTTATAGTTAGAATTAATTTTGTTAATTTATAAATATAAGAGAATTTCAATAAAATATTCTGAAACATCTGCAGTTTTAGTTAGACGTTTCATATTTTCAAGTAAATTTAATGCTAAATTTAAGCTTTCCAACGCCTCCTTTTTAATAAATGTTTTCTCCTACAACATCAGAGTGCAGCGCCACATTAAATACGCACTACAATGACAATAGTTTAAAGCGATTTGACGCATGATTTATTTTTAAAATGTAAATATGGTTTTGGGGGGGGGGGCAGAGCTTTGTGACGTCATATTTGAGGGGGGTGGGTCTGACTGTTTGGCAAAGATGGTGATAAGATGATTTGTACAATCTTATCTGACATGTACTATTCTACTTTACCGAGTGTTGACATCCCCAGCGTTTACCAGTGTTGCTTCCTTTTATGCTTATTATCAGCTAACACCGGCCACAACCATGAGCCGATGGCAGAGGTCGCAACCGGGTACCCGATACCCGTACCCTACCCGATACCCGGCTACCCGTACCCGGCCGGGTACGGGTAGCCGTTTGCGACCCTGGTGCGGCCGGGTACGGGTAGATCGTGAGTCACTGGTGAGTCACCGTTTGTCACTCATTTCCCAACGTCTTGTCTCTTCTCACAATTCAAGTTCCTAGAATCAACCCACCCGCGCCTGCAACGTGGCTTCATCCCAGAGGTCGCAATCAGGTACCCGATACCGGTAGGGTACGGGTAGGATATGGGTACGGTAGGGTACGGGTAGGGTACGGGTAGGGTACGGGTATGGGTAGGGTACCCGTTTGTGACCCTGGTGTGGCCGGGTACGGGTAGGCTGTGAGTCACCGGTGAGTTACCGTTTGTCACTCATTTCGGGTAGGGTACGGGTACCCGGCCGGGTACGGGTACCCATTTGCGACCCTGGTGCAGCCGGGTACGGGTAAGGAATCTAAACCCGTTTGCGACCTCTGTTTAAGCCCCACTCCCGAGGACCATCAGGTCATACCCATTGGCTACCACATTCAGATTCACATTCAGACAAGCCCCTCCCCTCCCCCCTTAGCTTGTATTTAAGGGCTCGCCTCTTGGATTTTTTCCTCACTTGATACAGTAAATTCAGCTGTGACGGTCCCACCTGATGACGGAGGTTTGTGTTGCCTCCGAAACGTCGTGATTTATTATTTTATTTCTATTATTAATTTATTATTTATTATTATTTATTTTTACCTACGTGACTTTACCGAAAAAACCTACGAGTATGAATCCAATGTTAAAGTCTACCACAGACTCCAATGTTAAAGCCTGCCATAGACTCCAATGTTAAAGTCTCCCATAGACTTCAATGTTAAAGTGTCTCCCATAGACTCCAATGTTAAAGTCTCCCATAGACTACAATGTTAAAGTGTCTCCCATAGACTTCAATGTTAAAGTCTCCCATAGACTCCAATGTTAAAGTCTCCCATAGACTCCAATGTTAAAGTCTCCCATAGACTCCAATGTTAAAGTTTCCCATAGACTCCAATGTTAAAGTCTCCCATAGACTCCAATGTTAAAGTCTCCCATAGACTCCAATGTTAAAGTCTCCCATAGACTTCAATGTTAAAGTGTCTCCCATAGACTCCAATGTTAAAGTCTCTCATAGACTCCAATGTTAAAGTCTCCCATAGACTTCAATGTTAAAGTGTCTCCCATAGACTTCAATGTTAAAGTCTCCCATAGACTCCAATGTTAAAGTCTCCCATAGACTCCAATGTTAAAGTCTCCCATAGACTCCAATGTTAAAGTTTCCCATAGACTCCAATGTTAAAGTCTCCCATAGACTCCAATGTTAAAGTCTCCCATAGACTCCAATGTTAAAGTCTCCCAAAGACTTCAATGTTAAAGTGTCTACCCATAGACTCCAATGTTAAAGTCTCCCATAGACTTCAATGTTAAAGTCTCCCATAGACTTCAATGTTAAAGTCTCCCATAGACTCCAATGTTAAAGTCTCCCATAGACTCCAATGTTAAAGTCTCCCATAGACTCCAATGTTAAAGTCTCCCATAGACTCCAATGTTAAAGTGTCCCATAGACACCAATGTTAAAGTCTCCCATAGACTCCAATGTTAAAGTCTCCCAAAGACTTCAATGTTAAAGTCTCCCATAGACTCCAATGGTAAAGTCTCCCATAGACTGTAATGTTAAAGTCTCCCATAGACTACAATGTTAAAGTCTCCCATAGACTCCAATGTTAAAGTCTCCCATAGACTTCAATGTTAGACTCCAATGTTAAAGTCTCCCATATACTCCAATGTTAAAGTCTCCCATAGACTCCAATGTTAAAGTCTCCCATAGACTCCAATGTTAAAGTCTCCCATAGACTTCAATGTTAAAGTCTCTCATAGACTGCAATGGTAAAGTCTCCCATAGACTACAATGTTAAAGTCTCCCATATACTCCAATGTTAAAGTCTCCCATAGACTCCAATGTTAAAGTGTCCCATAGACACCAATGTTAAAGTCTCCCATAGACTCCAATGTTAAAGTCTCCCAAAGACTTCAATGTTAAAGTCTCCCATAGACTACAATGTTAAAGTCTCCCATATACTCCAATGTTAAAGTCTCCCATAGACTCCAATGTTAAAGTCTCCCAAAGACTTCAATGTTAAAGTGTCTACCCATAGACTCCAATGTTAAAGTCTCCCATAGACTTCAATGTTAAAGTCTCCCATATACTCCAATGTTAAAGTCTCCCATAGACTCCAATGTTAAAGTCTCCCATAGACTCCAATGTTAAAGTCTCCCATAGACTCCAATGTTAAAGTGTCCCATAGACACCAATGTTAAAGTCTCCCATAGACTCCAATGTTAAAGTCTCCCAAAGACTTCAATGTTAAAGTCTCCCATAGACTACAATGTTAAAGTCTCCCATATACTCCAATGTTAAAGTCTCCCATAGACTTCAATGTTAAAGTCTCCCATAGACTCCAATGTTAAAGTCTCTCATAAACTCTAATGTTAAAGTCTCCCATAGACTCCAATGTTAAAGTTTCCCATAGACTCCAATGTTAAAGTCTCCCATAGACCCCAATGTTAAAGTCTCCCATATACTGCAATGTTAAAGTCTCCCATAGACTTCAATGTTAAAGTCTCCCATAGACTGCAATGTTAAAGTCTCCTATAGACTCCAATGTTAAAGTCTCCCATAGACTCCAATGTTACAGTCTCCCATAGATTCCAATGTTAAAGTCTCCCATAGACTCCAATGTTAAAGTCTCCCATAGACTCCAATGTTAAAGTCTCCCATAGACACCAATGTTAAAGTCTCCCAAATACTTCAATGTTAAAGTCTCTACCCATAGACTCCAATATTAAAGTCCCCCATAGACTTCAATGTTAAAGTCTCTCATAGACTTCAATGTTAAAGTCTCCCATAGACTACAATGTTAAAGTCTCCCATATACTCCAATGTTAAAGTCGCCCATAGACTGCAATGTTAAAGTCTCCCATAGACTCCAATGTTAAAGTCTCCCATAGACTCCAATGTTAAAGTCTCCCATAGACTCCAATGTTAAAGTCTCCCATAGACTTCAATGTTAAAGTCTCCCATAGACTCCAATGTTAAAGTCTCCCATGGACTCCAATGTTAAAGTCTCCCAAAGACTTCAATGTTAAAGTGTCTACCCATAGACTCCAATGTTAAAGTCTCCCATAGACTTCAATGTTAAAGTCTCCCATAGACTTCAATGTTAAAGTCTCCCATAGACTTCAATGTTAAAGTCCCCCATAGACCCCAATGTTAAAGTCTCCCATAGACTCCAATGTTAAAGTCTCCCATAGACTCCAATGTTAAAGTCTCCCATAGACTCCAATGTTAAAGTCTCCCATAGACTCCAATGTTAAAGTCTCTACCCATATACTCCAATGTTAAAGTCTCTACCCATAGACTCAATGTTAAAGTCTCCCATAGACTCCAATGTTAAAGTCTCCCATAGACATCAATGTTAAAGTCTCCCATAGACATCAATGTTAAAGTCTCCCATAGACTCCAATGTTAAAAGTCCCCCATAGACTCCAATGTTAAAGTCTCTACTCATAGACTCCAATGTTAATGTCTGCTATAGACCCCCAACGTTGAACTCATGGGATTAATCTTTTCCGGCAGAAATAAAGTTAAAGAATATAATAAAGAATCCAAAATGTAAATGAAAATTGAAATTAAATAAATCAAATAAAAAAAAATTGATAAGATATAACTAACTCTTTGGTTCTTTCGGTAAAATCG